TCTCACATTAGTAAAAATATACTGACGTCAGCAATTCGGAAAACAAAAGGAGCATTGATTAATTTCTCAATTACCTTTAGAGTTTTTTTTTCATGAGAGTCTTTTGTTATTAACAGAGCTGGAGTGTGAAACCAATACCTCAAACACAAAAGAGTAGTATTAATTGAAAGTTATGCATGAGGAAAAAAAAGCCTCCGACCCACCGTCTGGGTAAGTGTCAAATATATGTATGCATTTTATTATTAGAATTGTTTATACTTAAAGCATGCGAACAAGACTGAGGATCAATTGTTATCTTTATATGTATATTTTTTTGTTTTTAGTTTAATATTCAGGAAATATTGAACATAAACAGGAAAATGAAAAGGAACATGGTATTTTTCCTACTAATCATAATTGCACAATTCCTTACAATATAGCTGTTTAAAGAATGACTTGGGTAAATTAGACTATGCGCTGATATAATAAAGTATGTAAATTTATCAGTTGCAAAAACGAATTTCTTCTGTTTAGTAATGAGATATTCCATTATGATGACACGGGCACAACTTTTAAGGATTTATTTCGTGCCCTCGTTACTGAATGTGATTTAGTTTCATATTCAGGAAATTGTCAAAGAGAGAAAGGAAAAAGTCAAGCAGACTAAAAGTTTTGATGCCAAGTACAATACATTTTTTAAATTATTAAAGTGGGAGATGACTTTTTCATAATACAGGTAAACTATCTCTCTCACACACACACACACGCATATCTATATATAAATAATGATTAATAAAGGACAGCTTTTATAATTTCAGCCATTTAATAATGTTAACTTTTATTCGCTTATTCATTAATTATTTATTACTAACTTAAAAGCCGCATGCCGTTCAGGCTTTTAAGCTAGTTCATGTGGAAGGCTAGTTTGACCTCCGGTCCATATTAGAAAACACCAATGATAACTGAATTCATCGATTCACTCCATTGAAGTTCACTTTAACTCTGATTCGGGCTGTAAGTCCAATTTCGACCAAAAGACAGATTTGGACAGAAATTCAAGTTCTTGAAATAAACTCTGGAACTTCAAAACTTTATGTCACAAAACCTCTCACTTTTCCTAATTTTGAAGGAAATCGACTTCCTTAATTCACAAAATTTGAAGATATTTTAAACTGAATTTAATACAATATTCTTTTAAATTCACAAAGTTTTAGTGTTACTTTAAAATTAAAATATAAATTAAAATCTTTTAAAATCACTAATTATTTTTCACTTATTTTAAAATTTGAATTTTTAACTGTTCTCTCCTCATCCAGAAACAAATCTCAATGCTGAATGTTCAAACACCAGATGAAGGACAGATTTTCAATCCCGGAATCATCCCGATTCCCAAAAGGTATAATATGTCTATGTAAAGCAAGTGTGACCAGAGTTAAGGGGGTTTCGGACAGACGGACAGAATTTGCCGTTTATTTATTTAGATAGAACATTGATTACTTAATTATTTGTTGCTGCTTATTGTTACATTTGTCTCGATGAGAGCTTTTGTAGTTTGTTAAATTGTTTATTATTTGATTTTTTTTTGTTTATTTTTTTTATTTCTTCTTTCACAGCTGAAGTTAACAAACACTATAAAATAGCTACAAAAAACCACATTGAGATCCACAATTATTTCTACCCAATAAATAGCCTCTAGAATAATTTGAAATATAACTATTGCCGCTCATCAAATAACAGTTAGTATAATACAATAGACCTTGCTACCTATAATGCATATATAAATAATCGAGTCAAAACAATAAATATGCCCTGAAGTGTGCACTTAAGCACGAAACAGACTGTTGCTGATTAGTATTGACATCAGTGTCCACTTTTATATTTATACTAGCTGAAGTACCCACGCCTTCCTGCGTGTCACATTTTTTTGTGAGAAAATGATTGATTTTAAATCATTGTTATAATTTGTGGAGAAAAATGATGCATTTCACTATTACTCAATGATCTTGCAGATGTGACCTCCATTTTCTGGCTTTCTCCTATATTTTGGATAGGCATCATTCCCTTGTTCAAATTTAAATTTCATTTTAATCAAAGGAAAAAAAAAATCAGTGAGGGTTTGTGCGAAAACAGCTTGATCTGACCCCTTTGATATTTAGGCAATACTTAATTGAATGAATTGATGAGCAGATTTCAACGTTGATATGACAGTTGAATTGTTGCAACAAATACGTATTGTGAGGCACTACCCACTGACTGGTGATTTCTTGCTCAACTTGACTTCCATATTGTCTCATTTTGATCTCGCCTATGTAACCTCCATATTCTGACTTTCTCCTGCTATATTTTGGACAGGAGTTATTCCTTTGTTCAAATCTAAATTTAAATCAAAAGGGGAAACATTATCAGTGGAGAGTTTGTGCTACCTCAGGGACCACCTTTGATCAAAATGAAATATACTTATTCTGGGTAATGTAATTTCAGAACATATATGGTTATGGGGGTCTATTTCCAAAATCCTAGGAGGCGTTTGATGACAGACAGAGGCTACAACTTATATATATATATATATATATATGATTTACATATGGTCTATCTCTGATATTGAGCGCTTTTACCAATAAATATAGTCTACCTTAAAACTATATTTTTATTATATATAATGCTGGAAAATATTTTGTTCCCTGTACTAATCCTGTAAGTACCTGCCCCCCCCTACTATGCTCTACCTTTACAAGAGCCAGATTTGGCCGAAAACAGAATACTGCTGCTATATTTGGAGTGGAGCTGCCCAGTCTTCACTCTCCAGTCTTGATAGAGTTCAACTGCATAGGGAATTAATTATTGTAGACGCTTTTGGATTCAATCAAGACTGTAAAGTGAAGATTGGGCAGTTTCATTTGGTTTGGTTTGTTTTGTTTTGTAGCATATCAACCTCAATGGGTTATATAATGCCGACAAAATTTTCATTGTTGGTAATATTTTTTCCTTCAAAAATCTATTTCTGGTAAGAATTTTCCATCGCTGGTAATATTTTTTTTCAAAATGTATAAAAAATTATTACCATCAATACAAAGTATTTCTGATATTAAAACCTATTTTTACACTTTCATAATGTAGTGATCCGAGTTTGGGGATTAACTATTTGCCTGTAGCTAGGACCCTAGCAGGTGTTACCACCCCGGATCAGTGTGGACCTGGAAACACCAGCAATTAATAGGTGGTTCCACGCTCCTCAAAACCTACTGCTGTTGAATGTAGTTTATCGTCATACCCAGGACGTGGCTGTAGTTGATCATTTTACCGAGGACACAGATGTAGTTGATCGTCAGACTCAGGACAGACAACTTCGTGGCTGATTAATTATTTAATAATCATTTAATATGCTGCAGCCCTCCCCCCAACAAGTGAAACATCCCCAACCCCCTCGTTAAGCTTCATTCCTTAGTTCCACCAACACTATCACAGCTAAAACCCGGCACACTGAGGCGAACCAACCCCATTCCCTTTGTATTCCATTAGCAAGAAGTAAATTCCACAAAGAGTTTCATCCAATGAACCACGACTTTATGGAACCGATTCCCAAAAGGATGCTTTCCTGATCACAACAATGTTAACCGGTTCAAGTCTAAAGTTAACCGTTACATATCCTCAAATGACACGTCTTGCTGTACATACAACCTCCTTCAGTAAGAATTCTTATTAATCTTTAAATAAAATGATTCCATTAGTCCGAAGACAAAGGCCTAAAAAATAAACATCATGTCACTTCAGGATCTAGACAATCGTGGTTTACCAGAGGTTTTAATTTTTTAATATTATCTTCGAACTGACGTGACATCTTGAGAAAGATTAGTCAGTTGGGTGCCATACGTGATACATGATTGGGCGATCATGTCTCTTTCAAGTCATGACTGATCAGGCAGAAGATTTTCTCACAGTAGGTTGCTGTTTCTTTCTATGGTAGACTAACCAAGGCTGTAGGATCTAGTCTGTTTTGCTAGTAAACCTATAGCTGGAGGAGAGAAGAGATGGATTCATACCTTTCACAAGGATATTTGCGCATAAGGGAATGTTACGAACCTAACTGGAATTTGAACTTAGCTCTCTGATTTCTCATTCTAAGCCAATGTCCATAACACCACAACACACATGGTTTGTAGATGATCTATTGTAGGCGTTATATGTTTCGGTATTAAATTGTTGAGCTTAACTATATAAATGCTAGTGCTTGACATCACCAGATCAGATTTAGTTTCTCTGACCATCCTTCTAGCCAAATTAAGGTCTAAAGTGGAGTGTTGCTTGTCATGACTACTTAAAGACTCGGGTTATGTATTGCTCAGCCTCCAGATTTCTGTCTTTTGGTATTACGGGTTACCATCCATAACAAATAGATGGCCTCATCTTTTTCTTTGGATAGTTTGATGAGGCGAGATATGTATTTAAATTAGGATTTAATTTCACATTGGACTTAGTTAAGTGCGATGATACACGTTTCGGCGATCATGTTTCTTTCGAGTCATAACTGACTAGGCGGAAGATCTTCCTGTCGTTTCTTTCTGCGGTACACTGGTAGCCATCCAAGGCTACAAGACCGTCTCTCCTGCTATTTAACCCATAGCTGGGGCTATAAGAGATGGATTCATATCTTTCTTAAAGGTATTTAAGTGAATGTAACAAAACCGACTGGAATTCGAAATCTGCTAAATTACTGCTATGAAAGGCTGGAGAACCCAGTCTACTCTCCTATTTAACCTAGAACAGATGGAGGGGGGGCAGAGATGGATTCATGCCTTTTGCAAAGACATTAATGTAAAAGTGAAAGCAACAGATAGGGTTAAAATTTGAACCTGAATTGCCAATTTCACTTGCTGTGCTGATAACCTTTACACAACCAGAATATGCAAACAGGCGATTAATATGAAAATCTCCAGCGTAAAATTTCTGCGGCATAAAAAGTTTAGATTTTCAGACTTGGGTCACTCTACCTATTTCTACTAACTGCCATCGTTATAATATCACGTTGAAACACCGGTTCTCTTACGATCACCGAAGTTAAGCAACATCGAGTCTGGTCTGTACCGAGATGGGTGACCATTTAGGAATACCAGATGCTCTAAGCTTTTAGTCATGGGTAATGTAATGAATAATGGCTCGTAACTGTTACTTAGAGAGCCGATTTCCGATGGGTTCGTTATATTCGCTTACGCGCAAATACCCTTGAGAATGGTATGAATCTACCACTTTTCCCCAGCTATGGGTTAATTAGTAAGACTTGTATAATAAACCTTTAAAAAAAAAAAACAAAAAACAAAAAAACGCGTGCAAAATATTTAGATATTAATATTAAATAACCCATAGAGCTTGATATGCTGCTAAACCAAAACAACCAAATCAACCATTATTTATAATGTAGTGCACTTGTGCAATCAAAAATGATAACAATTCGTTTTAACATCGAGATGCAATGAAGCAAAAGTTGTGAAACAACGTATTGAGATTCACAATTCGTAACTAAAATAGAGGCCAATGAACTGGTTAATTACTCCGTTCTTTTACTATTACATTTTTTTTAAAATTCAGTCTTATTTGTTCAAGCCTTTCTTATGAGGCACTCAGATACCTTTGTCTATGAAGTGAATGTCTTGCTTCACGATGACAAAGCCTATCTTTGTCGTTCTGTTGCTAATCTGATTTTGCTTTCAACAGGTGCTTCTATTTCAAACCACTGCTATATTAAACACATTAAAGTTTTAGCATGTAAAAATATTGAGCAAAAAGCGATTTATATAACGCCAAGAGTAATCAATGAATCATAGTCACTACTGATTGTCTAAAAAAATATAAATATAATTTTTTTTTCTTAAATAAAGCTTGAATTTACACTATATGCATAATCCTATAATAACTACCAAAAAAGTTCAATTTAAAATGGATGTTGATACATATTTTTAGAGAAATTATAAAATTAATTTAATTTCTATTTTTGTGCTAATAACTGAAGGTATGGTACGAAAAAAAATTTAATATAAAAGTTTGTCTAAATCATAAAGCCGTATGATGTTGCCTTCAGCATCCTTGACTCCAGAGTTTCGTAGACAGACCCCCTCCGTCCACTCTTTCAGGGAAGATCAGCAGTTGACTGCTTATAATTTTAATTTTTTTATGCACTATCTATATATATATATATATATATATATATATATATATATATATATATATATATATATATATCTACATACATGCTGTCAAAAATGATGGTTTATTTACAAAAAATCTGGTGTAAAATATTTCTTCTAATGTATTCATATATATAATAGCCCTTATAAAACTGGTGACATTCTTTGCACCATATATGATATAAACTAAACATTAAAAGGGTTTATGATATATTTTGTTCCATTTGTGATAAATTTCCATTTTTTATTGCAGGCATAAAAATGTAAATACTGTATCATTAATATACATCATTATGCCATTTTATTGCCCTTTATTTAAAAAGATATCCTCTATCATTGAAGGAATTATAAATATCATTAATTTTGTCCTAATTACAGAGTATGACACGAAAGATAAATACACAGTAATTATTATATAATGCTGATGGAAATAAATTTCATTGGAATTAACTCTATAAAAAAAATTATAGACACACTTGCTTACTAAGGGAGATAACGGACCTCTCTAATTCCATAAAGCGGATATTTCATTAGGTGAGTTTTAAATATTACCGTGGTACTTTGCTTTGTCACAGAGTCGGTCTTTTCATCTGCAGGCTTCATAAACGTCTTTAGATAGTTTAGCATTGTTACAACAAAGACGCCGTTACCTGGCGTCATCAGTGTAAGGGAGATTACATGAATGCAGTATAAATTTACTGATAAAAAATACAAACATATTTGATATATATCTATCATCAAAGAATAGATACCCCCCCCCGCCCAACTTTAATATATATATATATATATATATATATATATATATAGCTGAGTTTTAAATAAACAGGCTCGGATGATTATCTTTTTCTGAATAAAAATTCATCCAGGACAGTTTTATTCCAACCGCCCCTTTTATTTAGGGAATCCACCCCCGCACCTAACAATTAGTTAATACAGTGAATGAAACGTATGATTAATAAAAAATTATTAAAATAAAAAAAAAGGCACGACATAAATAGAATTGTTTTTTTTTTTTTTAAAAAAAAAAAAAAAAAAAAAGAGAAAGAAAGCATTCTTTCGATCATCTTACGACTGGAACGCCAGTCTGAATAGAAAAATATTGATTATTTTATCGATTTAGAAGGGCGGATCTTGTTTATAATATCGATCTTTCTATGTACCGTGTCCTTTCAGGACGTAGGCGATCATAGCTCTACCTCCCTCTGTCCCTTGCAGCTCTCAACAAGTTCTTTCCCTCTGCCACCTCCTCCAGACCACGTTCTGTCATCCTCTTGCTTAAGGCCGCTAGGTATGCCATGCGTTGTTTTCCCTTGTCTCTTTATTCTACCCGTGAGTATCAAATTCTCCAGGCCCTGCTTCCTCATTATGAGTCCCAGAAACTTCAGCTGCCTCTTCCTGATATTAAGTATAAGCCTCCTCCTTGTTTGCAACTCCTCTAAGACCTTATCATTGCTCGCACGCACGGTCCATGATATCCTTATCATCCTTCTGTGGAACCACATCCCCGTCGCCTCGAGTCTCTTCTTTATCTTTGAGGAAATCGTCCAACATTCGCTGCCATAAAGAAGGACAGATATCAGGTAACAGCTCTGTATTCTTTTCTTTGTTATCAAAGAAATCCTCCTGTCTCGCAACACTCTGCCCAGCTTTTGGAATGCGTCGTGGCCATCCCAATACGTCTACGGATCTCAGTGTCGCATTTATCGTCCTCTGTCAGAACGCTTCCCAGATATTAAAAATTCCGCGTCTGCTTGATTCTAGTGTTCCCGACCTGCAAATCGCATTTCAGAGTGCTAAATCAAACCCTGACTTTTAAAGAATTATTGGATTTTTGCATATGAAAGCAACGTGGTTACAAAAATACCTTTTTTGAAAAAAATAAAAGAACAAATTATATATATATATATATATATTTATTTAGCAAAGAATAAAAAATTAGATAAATGACGTATTCGTTTCTGCTGTTAAGATAAATAATTATGAACCTCAAATGTTTGTGAATGTGCTTCCAAAATCAATCTCACACAAAAAATGTTTAATTAAATAGAGGGAAAATTTTTATGAGTGGGGATTAACTTTTGTAAATTAGCATACTTTAGACTTCCCTTGGGCCACAGCACTTGTCAGAATTTAAAAAAAATATTGATTTGTTATCGATTTAGAAGAGAGGGTCCTGTTTATATCGATACAGTGACAACTCAAACCCTGAATTATTGGCTGTAGCCGTTTTTCGTATGAAAGGCTTATTTTGAGGCGAGGTGACAAAAAGACTTCTCTGCAATAACGAACAAACGGATATATATTTTGCGCTTCCAAAAACATCCTATACAAAAATGTGTTGTCTAAAGAATTCTAATGCACAAAAATTATTTTAAAATCCCCCCCCTTTTTTTTTAAAAAGTGGCCCATTCTATTTAAATAGTGTCAAAATATTCCCAACCAACCCCTTTATTTGAAACTGAAGTGTACTATTCTATTATATAAATATATTAGCATTATTATTATGTATAAATATATTAGTTTTAACCTTGCATTATAGAAACAATAAATAAAGCATCTTTCAAGCAAAATCAATGTCTCTCCACCCACTGAACCCTTAAGAGTTTCAGCAATGATGACGCCTATTCCTACTACACAATCCAAGGCATGTCTGTGAACCGCCACCCATGACCCATCGTCCACTGTCTTTCCTAAGCAACGGATCACAGCAGCAAAACAGGGACAAGAACGGATGGAGAGAAGGGAGATTAAGGAATGGACAGATGATAGGTTGGGGAATGTAGGGATTTCAGTTCTGCTGGGGACCAAAGTGCAGAAGATGGTAAAGAATTTATCTGGGATTCCAACCAAGTAGTAGTAGCAGAATTTAATGGATAATATTCCGGTATTTGTGAGGCAAGTCATGGTGCCCCAGAAATATCCAAGAGTGTGGCGGAAAGTTGGAAGGGGAAAGATGAAAGGCTTAATTTGAAGAGAAAGGAAATGAGAAGAGAGAGTAGGGGAGTGAAAAGAGACAAAATGATGGAGAGTGAAAAGAGTGAGTGGAAGTAAGAAGAAATAGAAAGAAAGGAAGCGAGTGGGAGGGAGGGAACAGAAGGAGGGGAGGAACAGAGAGAGTGGGAGGGGAGGAACAGAGAGAGTGGGAGGGGAGGAACAGAGAGAGTGGGAGGGGAGGAACAGAGAGAGTGGGAGGGAAAGAGTGAGAGGAGATAGAAAGGAACAGAAATAGAGAATGAGGAAGTACGAGTGGGAATAGAAAGAGAGTGAGAGAGAAAAAGGTACACGGAGGGGGAGTGAGTGTGAGAGTATATAAGCGCAGGGTGTGAGCAGGGGAGAAATACACACACACACACCCACGTTATATATATATATGGGAGAAAATAGGGAGAGAAAAAAAGGGAAAACAGATGAAAAGAAAATTTGGCATAAGTGAAAGAAATCGGTAAAAAGCCTATGAATTTGATGGAAGTTGAAAGGAGTGGACAGTTCCATATTTGGTAATACAGCAGACGTGGAGTGGTGGTGGTGGCGGCGGTGTAATGGCAAAGGAAGTGTTTTGAAACGATCTTAATGACAAACGAAATCTGCTGGGTTCTTAACAGGAATACAAACAGCAGCAGCAGCCTTACAAAAACAAGAACATAAAAATAAGTTTCATGCAATATTTTTCTATGAATGATAAAGCATTTATGAGGTATATTTTGCCTTACCCTAAAATCAATATTCCTAATTTAGTGCTGTCAATCCGAGACACTTTGCCGTGATAACAGCACAAGAATTTAAGTTAGAATCGTTTTCAATAAATTCAGATGTATATGAAAATAACCATTTTCTTTGTAAATGCAGAATTTTATTTGACGTTAATTTTGATTAACTAGGAATAAATTGCCGAAAAATGTTATTTCTACTGTTGTAGGAAAGACATAAAATCCATAAATTATTGAATATGTTGCTTAACAGTAGAAAAAAAGCAAAAGCCTTGAAATTTTGTATAGACGGGGAAGCATATTAAATATTTCCTTTTTATTTTAATCAATTCACGCCAAGCAAGGCGATAATGCCGCTAGGGTATACTGGTAGTGAAAGAGAAGACTTTAGAAGGAACCGGAAACTTAATTAAACAGGGAACAAGGAACAAAACTCTACGACACAATGGATGGCCGATAAAAGAACTGTGTTATGGAAGAATTTTAAGATTAGTTTCCTGATCAGAACAGAATGCCGAAACAGCAAATTACTGTTTGATACGATCAAATTGTAATTCCAGAAAATTTAAGAGCAGAAATTATTGAATCAATAAGCAAAATCATTGGTACGGTGGCCAGAAATATCAGAGGCGCTCACTGATGTTGTGGAAAGATGTGATCTCGATAACCGACACCGATTTGAACAAATATGAACCGTTGAATAAAGTGAGTTATTCAAGGTATACACGCTGTTGACTTCTCCAGCTGGCAATAAATAACTGTCATCTTCATTCTTAGAAACAAGATGAAACAACACCTCCCATCAATTAAGAATCCATTTAGAATGTAGTATCAGGGGGATATATTAAAATGAATTTCAGTTTCTTGAGAAATGAAAACAAAAATGTTAAATACTATTCAATTTTTATTTACAAGATCATAAAATAAAAAGTTGTGAGAAAAATATATTTTTCTACAGGTGTACAGAATTTGAGTACTTCTACGTGGTGTAATGTTTAGCAAGCTTGTCTTGCTAGATCAATTTCAATTGATAAGCGAATTTGATCCTCATTGGGTGTGGCAAACCTTCGGCCTTGTGTCACATCTAAATTACGCTTAGTAAATAACTACAACTGTACAGAATTTAATTTGTGAACTAAAAACTATTTAAAAGATTCTAAAAATATTCTTACAATTCACTATAAAAATAATTTTATGTTTAGATTATAAAATATATGTCGACAAACAATAAAATATTCATTATTTATGATATTATAAAAGAAATAATTTTTTCTTCATAAAATTATAAAACTCTTGGTGAACTATAAAACAAGAAAATTTTAATAAATATATGATAAGGAATAAATATAATTATAAATTAAAAAAAAAATTTAGGTCACTAACATATGTTGAGAAAAAAGAACGTATAAATTCAGTTTCTTATATATTTTATTTATCCGGTCGAGCTAGCTCGCACATTCATGAGGCTATCACGCCAGTCATCACGGTCCTGCGTCAAGGTCGGAAGGTCATTAGGGTGACATTCTGTGTCATAACATAGCTGGTCAATGTAAATGGTTGCTGGCCGACGAACGAGTCTTGCTCCATGGCTAGGTGTCTAGAGCAGTAGTTCACTCTCGATTTCTTGTTTTGCTCGCCAGCAGTGCCCTGCAATGTGTATTCTGCGTTCGCGTAAGATTGTAGAAATGTCAAGGATGGGTCCATAGAGCTGTGATTTAGTTGGATGTTGTCTCCAAGAGTTGTTAAGTAACTCTCAGCATCCGAGTGTAGGTCCCATCAAGCGTAGACTGTAGGGTTTTAATTAATGTCCAACCAGTGGCACCATACATTAAAACCACCTCTACAGTATCTCGAAAGAATTTCGGTTTGAGGTTCTTTTGGCATTGTATGTGAAATAAGTAGGATAGTGTAGAATTTTAAAATATTTCCAAAGCTTCTTTTTCTTTTTTAGGCAGATATTCGGGATTGCAAATTCTTTATTTGATGGAGCTAGCTCGAACGTTGAGTCTATTACGCCGGTTCTGTATCAAGTTCGGAAGGTCATTAGGGTGGCATTATGTGCTATAACATAGTTGGTCAATGTAGGTGATTGTTGGGCAACCAACCCATCTTACTCCATGGTTACGGGTCCAGAGCAATAGATCACTCGCGAGTTCTAGATTTGTTCACCAGCAGTGTCCTGCAAATCGTATTCTGCGTTCACGTAAGGTTGTAGGAATATCAGAACTGTGATTTAGTTGGATGTTGTCTCCAAGTAACTCTCAGCATCCGAGTGTAGGTTCTATCAAGGGTTTTAGTTTATATCTAAGCAGTGGCACTATACATTAAAACCGTCTTTACAGTGGCGTGAGAGAAGCTCCGTTTGAGGTTGTCTGGTGGGTCAAATTTTCAGATTACATCCATGTTTTTCTTACGTTACGGTTTTATTAACATATGAAAGCAGCTCTTTAATAGCTAAACTAACATAGGAGAGTTCAGAAAAAAATCCTTTTGACATATTTTTTTACTAGTCCTCACATAAACTAAAAATAATTATTAAAGTATAAACAAAGTAATGACCTATGTTAAGAATATCATTATTAATAATAATTAGTAATTATTATTATTATTATTAATAATAATAATAATTTATTATTATTTGTTTAATTTTGCTAAATGAACAATACATTCCATTCCCTGACTGCATGATATTCAACAGGGAATAAATTTCTTTTAATGTCACATCTCTCCTGGACACAGATGATGATGGCTCTCCATATCTTCTTTTACATTATCTATGAATAACCATGAATTCTTAGGGAAAGATAAAGTGATTTCCCCCTCGAGTTCTCCAGTTTTGTATTTATCATACCTTTCCCATATAAACCAAATTACAGCTAGTGGTATGGATTATACAATTATATTCATTGAACCATCAAAGAATCTTCCCTTATTTTCTAGTTCAAAGTCTTAACGGAATATCCGTTTAACCAATGTTTCCCGCTTATATTTGCTTTACTTTTAGTTTTAAGAGTTTTCCTTTTTATATCTTTTGGCCAACCAAGGCTAGAACAAACAGTCAACTCTTAACTGGGAGAACATCAATTATTTGTTCAAATAATATTTTATTACAGCAAATTAAAAGTGACATTGTTTTCTCTGACTTCCCAAGCAAAAAGAAAGAAAGTAAAAAAAGAAAGAAAGTAAAAAAAGAAAGAAAGTAAAAAAAGAAAGAAAGTAAAAAAAGAAAGAAAGTAAAAAAAGAAAGAAAGTAAAAAAAGAAAGAAAGTAAAAAAAGAAAGAAAGTAAAAAAAGAAAGAAAGTAAAAAAAGAAAGAAAGTAAAAAAAGAAAAGAAAAGTAAAAAAAAAAAAGAAAAAAAAAGAAAAAAGAAAAAAAGAAAGAAAGTAAAAAAAAAAGAAAGAAAGAAAAAAGAAAAAAGTAAAAAAAGAAAGAAAGTAAAAAAAGAAAGAAAGTAAAAAAAAAGAAAGAAAAAAAAAAGAAAGAAAAAAAAAAAAGAAAGTAAAAAAGAAAGAAAGAAAAAAGAAAGAAAAAAAGAAAGAAAGAAAACAAAAACAAAGTAAAAAAGAAAGAAAGTAAAAAAGCAAGAAAGAAAGTAAAAAAAAAGAAAGAAAAAAAGAAAGAAAGTAAAAAAGAAAAAAAAAAAAGAAAGAAAGTAAAAAAGAAAAAAGAAAAAAAAGAAAGTAAAAAAAGAAAAAGAAAGAAAAAAGAAAGAAAGAAAGAAAGAAAAAAAAAAAAGAAAAAAAAGAAAAGAAAGAAAAAGAAAGAAAGAAAAAAAGAAAAAAAGAAAGAAAGAAAGAAAAAAAGAAAAAAAAAAAGAAAGAAAGAAAAAAAAAAAAGAAAGAAAAAAAGAAAGAAAGAAAAAAAAGAAAGAAAGAAAGAAAAAAAAGAAAATGAAAAAAAAAGTTTTTCCTGTAGATTTTGATCCTGAACAGACAGACAAGCACAGATTCAAACTTCTGTATTCAATTTTAATGGGAGAATATGGCATTTTCAAAAGAAGCAATTGACTTTCATTTATTAATACGTCATATTTGTATCACTTAAAACGTTATTTTTTAATGACTACCCATATCTGAGTAGTTGCTCCGTTTATTTTTTTTAGATTTCCGAAAGTTCATAACGGCTCAGTTTCGTATCCAGAACGTAAACAAAGCAATTTTCGGATACGAAACTGAGCAGTTAAGAACTTTCAGAAATCTAAACGAGAACGATGTCCTTAAAAGGTATTATACAAGCTTGCTTAATCAACGACGCTCTTCGTGGCAGAGTTGGTTAAAAACCCGTCGGATCTAGCAACGGTTTCTCCTGCAAAGTGGGGGCGCAGGCTCGAATCTTACTGGAGGGCGCATTTTTCTTAAGATTTCTCGGTAGACGAAAATAAATAGTTAAAAAAACAACAACTTATAAATGAATAAACGGAGCATCTACTCAAACACAGGTATCCGCTAACAATAATGTTTAATGTGATAAGAATATGGCAGAGAAATGTCTGTATATTAGAACAATGTTGTGTAATAGAATGAAGTAGTTGGTGAAAAGTCCTTGGCCTGAACCATTTGTCAAAATATAACCAAATAGCAAATTGTTTTTTTGAATCTTTTTCTGGTTGGTCAGAGAAACTTTCATCACTCACCCCTCATATATGTAACGCTATATTATATAACTTATCAATGTGCATATCATGTTTCACCAATAAATGCCAGACATGTTTGTGTTACGACTTTGCTTTGTCTAAAGATAGCGAATAAAACAATTTGTTCACTATATAAATTGTTTTCAGTATGTATAACATATATCCTACCAAGTAAAGATATCTTAAAATTCTTTATTACAATATAAAAACAAAGAAAAATGTGATATCTTCTATTTTTTCCTAACCAGAAACCAACAACTTTTCCTATACAAAATTACGGCACCTTCCCCAACAATCACTTTTGGTTTTTACAGGACGAATTTACTAACGTCCTAAAGGGATTAGGAGAGTCACGTGAAAACCTGTGGGTGACGATAGTCAGTTGGTTGATTGATTGATGGATGTATTCATTTTCTACGGCTTATCAAACATTGCATGTTATTTAAAACAGAAAATATTTTTAGATTGTAAGAGTTTTTTTTTTTATTCATCCTCTTATATAGGAAGTGAATGCTGGACAGACGAAGAGAAAAAAGAAAAAGGAGTAACAGAAATGTGACTCTACAGAGGGATGCTAAGAATTCCACGGACGGAGCGAGTAAGCAACGAGGAAGTCTTAAAGTAAAAGGTAACAAAAAGAACGCTTATATCCAGAATCAGAAAGAGACAGCTGAAATGTCTTAGGTACATAATGGAGAATGAGGGCTTGGAAAACTTAACTCTCACAAGGCATGTCTAGAGCAAGAAAGATAGGCGAAAGCCGTGGGCTGCCTACGTGATGAGCTTGTGTTAATGGATAGCAGAACATGAGGTGGTAGGCTTGGCAAAGGGAGAAACATTGATAAGGACTGCAATGGAGGAGGTTGTGGAGAAACATAATCGCCTATGTTCCGAAGAGACCTGGTACAAAGAAGAAGAATGAGGATTCATAATCTTAGATTGGAATTGAAACTGATGACTTTCATTTTGTTCCTTTTTGTCGCTCTGGTACACTTAGTTCTACAAAAGTGATTTTTCTTTTAAATTTATTTTTTTGAAAACTCAACACTTCTGACTAATTTACGCAACGAATTACGCAGTACTTATATCGATTAACCACGTTACTTGTTTGCTTTGTTACAGTAATGTTAACTCTGTACAAGGCTCGGTTCCCACTCGAGGTAGAGGATTACGATAAAGGATAGTTCATATGGATAGGAGGGGGAAGAAAATCTGTTCAAGTCTAGAGTCAACCGTTAAGATTGTAGTGATCGGGGAAACATCCGCTTAGGAGTGTTCTGCAGAGCAGTGATTCGCGGGAAGAAGCTGTTTCAGTGGAACTTATTTCACGACGATGGAATACAAAAGGAATGAGAGTGGTTTGTTACAATGTAAGAGTCATGGCGAGTCCTAGTCGTGAAGGTCTGACCTGGTGGAACCAAGAGATGCAGTTCGTCCGAGCACTTTCCATGGTAGTAGCGATAGATCAGTGAGAGACTCGCCACATCCTCCCGCCTGTGATAGAGAGGTTGGGGTATTGAAAATAATTATTTTCCAACAAGGACCCGGAGTCTGGAAAGTGAGGTCTGGGCAACTCCCGCCGAAATATAGCAACAGTACTCCATTTTCTGGAGGAGCCAGGTATTTATTGGAGCGGTACAGGGAGCCGAACATTTTACCTCCATCCTTAACGATGGATTGTATATAGGAGTTCTACTTGAGGTCAGGTATGAGTTTCAGGACCAATATGCTCTCGAGGCATGTGGCCTCTCCTAGGGGACATCCGTTCATCGTGACTGACAGTACTTCGGGGTCAGATCGACGACGATAGCTTGTAACCAGTTAGAAAGATTACTTCGCTACTTAAATTGATTATTGCATTACTTAAATGAGTTTTCTTCCAATAAACTTATAAAAATGGCTTGAAAACATTAAATCGAGTAACAAAACTTGAAGTGATGCAAATTTATTATCATTTATTATGAATGTAAATTAAATTGAATTAATACGCCAACATTTCGGTACCGTGTGGCTTTTGCCTGTTTTCGTTTTATGACAACAGTCGTAGATCATTCCTCTTTAATTCTCCCCCAGTGTATCTAATCTATCAGTCCACCAATATAATCTGCCACACTTCCATTGAATTCTTTTTTTTTTATCTTTAATTGATAAAAAGGAGTAGAGGTTTATCCCTTGTTTTCTTGTATAGGATTGGGCTTCCGGTCCCTTCTAAAGTCTTCTCATTCTTTCACTCCCAGTAGCCTCTTGGGTCTTAGTAACATTATCGCCTTGCTTGGGAAGAATAGATTATAAAAAAAGCCGTTGCGAAATGTAAAAAAACAGCTTTAAATAGCAATAATATAAGTGACAGACGGCTATAAAAGGCACCGTTGATTATTTATTACTAATTTGTTTAATACACTTGTTTTCACCACGTGGCAATAAATGTAAGTAACACGATGCTCTAAAATAAGTAACCAAGTAATCGTTTTAAGTTCTCTGAAAATCAATGGCATTAATTTATGGCTAGGGGAAGAGCGTGAACACACACACACACACACACACACATATATATATATATATATATATATAAGTAAGTGGCATGAATGTTCTTAATCATTCAAGTGTGAAAACTTCCTAGCTGGACTGGGAAAATCAACAGCAACCGATTGGTAGAAGATTACGAAATTCCCAACACATGGTTTTGAATATCTCCGTGTAGGTGGATAGGTCTTCATGGTCCGATACTGACGAGAAAAATGATAACAAACATATTTTTGCATATTACTGGAGATAAGTATAGACAAGCAGTTTAGTATAGCGAGATAACTGAACTCGGGACATACAGTGAAGTGGAAAGATTGTGTTACGCCAAATAGAGCGGGTCTGCCTGTCTTGAAAATATCCATTTCGAGTATGAAGCATTAGTTTTCTTTTAAGAAACAAAAATAATGAAAATGCTTTAAATAACCCACAATGTGTTGATAAACCGTAAAACACACATACAATAAATAAATAAATAATTAAAAACAGAGATCACTGACAGCTCTGAGCCATTTTCTAATACCACATAATCCTGTCAAAGGGCTTCTATTCTTTGTAGTTCAGCGTATTTTTGAAAAGCTTTCGATGTATTGAAAAGTGTACAGAAATACTATTTTTTTTTTCATTTAAGCAAGAAAAAGTGGTAGTAAGGTGGAGGGCAAACGAACAGTGGATACAAAGGTACAAAGCCGGAGAGAGATATAAAGAAAACATATGGCGCCCAAATAGATAACAGTAAGCCGAGGGATTGGTTCCTCGTGCCACTTCTGAGTATAGGGCATCATTTTTTAATGAGAAACTGCTTATAATGTTTGCCTGAACAGCATTGGGAATATATATTATAGATAAAAAAGAAATGCTACCAAAGCTTGCTTCTATTCAAAGGAATGGACGTAGTTTTTTTTTTTTTTCCTAATATCATTATCTAACATTTTCTCCTCGAATAAAAATGTGCACATTGAGGGCAGAGTGGAAAAAAGATGAAAATTGAATGAATCATACGTAATGGATATAATGTTCTTTAAAGAAAAAATATGGAAGCACACAATTAGAAAAAAAAAAATAATTAAATTAGCTTCGAATTGCGTGTACTCAAGAAGTAATTTCTCATTTATACAAATTGTTTTTTGTTTTTAAACCAAAGATTTTTGTGAAAGATTTTTTGTTTATTACTTCCGGTGAAGATTTGAATACAGGGCGAGAAAAATATCTTGCACATATTTTTGATTGATTTTTTTTTTTATGGATTACCATCCCTTTTCAGGTTATTTAAAGCCAGAAAATATTTTTAAAATCGTAAGAATTATTTTTTTTTTTTTAGCTAATACTGATTTAGCGATAGGCCCTAATTAACCCATACCTGGGGGAGAAGAGGTGGATTCATACCTTTCTCAAGGGTATTTGCGCCGAAGTGAATATAACGAATCCAACTGGAATTGGAACTCGGCTTTCCAATTAACAATTCTGAGCCATTATCCATTACACCTCCCGCCCACCTAAACTTACAGCACCTGGTATTCCTAAGCTGTCTCCCATCTAGGTAATGACCAAGCTTGATGTTGCTTAAGTTCGGTGATCGCACGAAAAGCGGTGTTTCAACGTGGGATGGCCGTAAGCACCGCCCACATAATGGTAAGCTTTATCTGTCTAATGTCTTACCATTATGTACTTGTACTCCGATATTTGCCCTATGCTTTACATGTTCCCTATTTTTTTTCTTTTAAATGACTATTCAAAATGGAAAGCAAGCCAGTTTCGTATGAAGGTCAAGAGGAGAATAAAAAGATATGTATTAGTTACAGAAATGAGCAGAGAACAAAATGAAGACAAAGTGCAAATTTCAAAAAGGAAGACATTAATTACCGTTATTTGGTACTTAAGCGGTGAAGTAGCAAAAATACTAACAGATGTTAAGTGGATCATTAATATTTTCAAGTTAGGACTATATTTTCCAGTTCAACCAATTAGCTGCAAGATCGCCGGGGGTGGGAATTCTGTGTAATTGCATTTCATGGCATTTCCTAGGGCAACAAGAATGATTTGGTGCTCATTTTCTCTCCAAATAACAGGTGTCAAGTTGTGCTGGGTGACACGTTATCGCGGTAAGAACCAACCTATAACCGGTGGTTCTCCACAACTTTCTGTCCTTTGTAGCACTTAGTAAATTTTGTCTTTTTCTTATTTTTTCCTAATCCCTGTTCTGCCAACCAAGCTAGTTTTTCGCTGCTTTCTTTTGGCCTCAACATATCCTGTGAGAGTTTAATATTCCAAACGTTCATGTGCCCTAGACATTTAAATTGTCTCTTTCTGATTCTAAGTATTCTTATTGATTCCATTTTCACTGAAACTTCGAAATCGCCCATTTCCGAGACTGGCTACTATTCAAGAAGAGACATAGCAGTCTACCATACTATTTGGGGTAAGGGAGAAAATATTGATTCAGGATTTTCCTCCCGGGGCATTTGTGCGAAGAGTGGGTGTGGAGATGAGGCGATAATTTGAACTCGGCTCACGGATGAATGTTACGTCAACTAACAATGCCAAATATGTCCACAAAACTTTAAAATCATGCGTTTATGCTTTTCCACCAAATAACAATTGATAAGGCTTTTTAGACGATATACAATTAATGATGTTGTACCAGGTATTGGATCGAAGGTGTACCGGGAAAAGTTCATTAATTAAACTATTTTCGAAAGAAGGCCAAAACACGATAAGTGTACATATCAAAGAAATAACAGAGGATTACAATTAAAATATTCAACAACAAATATCACGTCATTTTGGTTCTTCCTTCAGGGGTGAATTTCCAAATATTGCAAAGAAAGCAATTGAAATACTTCTGCTGTTCTCAACGTCATATTTGTGTGAAACAAATTTTTCTGCAATAAACAATATTAAAAACAAATCTATCACGGCTAGAATCCTTGAAAAAAAAGATTTAAGATTGTGGTTGTCAACCAGGGTTCATAGAGACTCAAGGCGTCTTTGTAACATTACTGTAGGTACACACAAAAATAGCTAATTTGGGGTCCACCGTAATATTTTAGTGGCCCATAGAACAATTTAACTTCGAAACGGTTGTTACAACTGAGAATTGGAATTTATACATAATCTACGCCATATTAAAATACTCAAAATAGAAAAAAAAAAAAAAAAACTAAACTTATCAGAAAACGAGGTCAAGCGATCCTTTAACTCTACCGGATGTTTTCATTGTAAAAGTTGAATAAAAACTGAGAAGGATATATAAAGAAAGGATATATATATAAGTGGATAGTTTTGCTGGAAATTTACCCTGCTTTATATATAATCCTTATAATTTATATATTAAATTAATTAATATTATTATTAATATTTTATTAAATATTTTTATTAATTTATATTATATTATTAATATTTAAAATTAATATTATTTATTATTAATGTATTAAATTAATTTATATAATAAATTATAATCTTATATATATATATATATATACACACACACACTAGTGTACATAAATATAAATGTACGTAGAATTTAGTTATTAATATAAGTTTATTTTCATTAAATTAGTTTTGCTTCAAAATAAAGCATATACTTCTATTTCTACAATAGAAATCCTAAACTTAGATATTAGTAAAAAATATTTTTTTTTCATCAAATGGTTATGGGAGTCCATCAAAAAATTTAGTGTAAAAGTGGTTTATGAGTGAAAAAAAAAAAAAAAAAAATCAACAACAAACTATTGAGCCCCACTGATTTAAAGTATGCCTGTCCAAAATTCAAGATATTCTAAACGAGAAAAAAAAAAGAAAAAAGAAAAAAGTCAAGCTCAGACATCTCATGAAATGTTAGATTATAATAAACAAAAATAAGTAAAATATGTCTCATCCTGACAACCTAATAGAATAGTCCTTTGTAATTCGAAGAGACGTTACAAATATACTGCTTTTAATATGCTAGTTGTCCTTGGAGAGAATATATTTTGTCATCCACAGAGACTGTTTCGCTGTATCACAGCTCATCAGTGTGGCTAGACGTCCGGTTGCCTCTATCTAGGATCGAAACCCGACTGAATTGGTGTCAGTCGGGGATTCTATCGCTAAACCGTTGATTATAACTTTTAATGATTTAAAAACCAGAAATATATAGAAACCTGTATGTAATAGAGTTAATTTTATGTATAGATAAACAACAGATTACTCACGTAGAAAATATAACCAATGAAATTGCAACGTTGTTTAAATATGGCCGCCATTTTTTGATAGCAGGAGCCATATTAGTTTTCTTTAGATATATTTTTTTTATTACTTTTAATGATTTTAAAAAGTAGAATTCTTTCTTAAATGCGCGAATGGTAATGGTAATATTTGCGGTTGCTTTATAAAGAAACATTTGGCATTTATTGATCGAGCAGCCAGTACTGATTTCGCTTGAAATTTATAAAATCTTTCTCTAAAAAACAATTTTTCATAAAAATAAGTTTTTCAAGTTCAGTAGCTGTTATAGCTCTTTCCAGTACTGATGCGGGGGTTCCTTCCTAACCTTTTATTTGAAGCAGTGTGAAATATCAACATCTTAGGTCATCATTTTCTCTTCCAGTTATATATGCTATCGATTGTAGTTGTTGCTTCTGTTGGTAGTTCTCAACTGATGTGATTCCTGTTATTTGGTTCAGTTCTTTGTTTGCGAATATATAGCAATGTTCCAAGAAGGATGATATTTGCCAAGACCCTCAGGTTTCACTCGCACAAAGCCTTTTTCTAACCATGGTTTTTACGAAGCGGTTGTATACAGCTGACAGTTTAAGTAGTTCTGAACGGGTCTCGCGCCATACATGTCATCCATATGAAAGTCTCGCTCTATTTAAAAACACGACTAGTTTTCAGGTTGACATTTTTGTTTTTGTGCGAAACTAACTCTGGCGCAGCATATTCTTTGTTCAAATTCCTTTTCTCTGATACTAAATTTGTTATAACTGATCCACACGCAGAGGTTAATTATGGAAGATGAAAATCCTAGATTACTCATGCAAAATATATAAAAATTGCAATTGCTAAGTTACTTAAATATTTTCATCATTTTTGACGGGTAGGGTAGACGGGTAAAGAAATCATGTCTTCCCTTTATAGTTTATAGCATCAGTTATTTCGAGAGAAACAGGATAATTAAGCAAATATTTAAGTAAATAAAAACAACAGTTTTATTCTAAGCTTGTTATGGTGCGTCATCAAGCTTTAGCCTATAGGACTCAAAAAAAACAAAAAAAAAAAACGGATTTTATCAGCAGGTGACTGGTTTTCATCTGTGAAGTGGGCAGAGAGTTATCATTACCGAAAGTTTTTATTTTTTAAGCAAAATTCAGGCCGTGTTTATATTCTACAACCGTTAAGTTAGTTTAAATAAAAAGAAACGAAAAGAAAAAAAATAGAGACCTGAATATACTTAAGAGCTAGTCTGACAAAGACGGTGCCTTACCAGTTAGGCAGTAAAAATTAATTAGCACTGATTCAAATGCTAATTTATAGCTACATACGTATGGTAAAGGAAACAATTTTTTAAAAATCATTTCACCCTAAGTAAGGCAGGAATGCCACTAGTGCGCAGGGGTTTACAGGGGGTGAAAGTGAAAGAGAAGACTGATAATAGGGAGGATTCAACAGGCAGAAGATGGCGATGATTGTAGCTATCAGGAAAGCAAGTAAATTACAGGCGGTTGGATTTAGCTATTTCAGCAGTAAAATGGTGGGACCTAGACGGCAATCTAGTAACACGCTTAAATTCATATAGTCGGCGCACTAGGGAAAAAAAACTCGTCAGAACAGTTGCCATGAAAATATTTGTAGAAAAGACAGAGACCCAGAAATTAATAATTACAATCTTCTAAGAATATGGTTAGAAGAATTTTGGGAAGCTGAAGGACAATAAAAGTACTGGAGGTTTAAAAATAAAATAAAAAGAACTATACTCCCTTGCGAATGGGACCGAGAAAACGCCAACAGTATACACAAAAGAGGGATATCCCTTCCATAGAGACCATTTCCAGGGCGGATTTCTGCAGACTCGAGCAAAGACTCGACCAATGTTTACCTGCAAACTCGACTATGGACCTCATCAATATTTACCTATAAATCCAAGCCTGATAATAGATTCGATAGTAAATAACCCAAGGGTTAGGCATCAAGTTATTGGGAACCCTGTATTAAATATTGACAACCCAGCCCGAAATACATTAGTTTAGGTTTATTTTGCTTTTAGTTTTTTTCTGCTAAGTTAATTTAGCTAAGGGATATATGCTCATTGGTGGCCTTTTATTTTTGTCCCCCACTTTCTTTAATTTAATTTCCCCTCTCCTTCTCCGTTAGGTAACCAGAAGTGTCAGTTCTCTGGAGGGTGCGGGACACCTTTCGTTTTTTGAGTGTGTGTCTTTCATAATTGTTGTTGTGAGTATTTGGTCGAGTGAATATTTGATTTATTTAAGTCACGCATTAATTTTGTCTACTTAACTGATGTTTCTGCTATGTTTAAGGATTGTGGGATTTTTTTTTTATTACTAACGCTGTTTTGTTTAGTTTCTTGTATATAGCATTTTAAACATTGTAAATATTCATTGGAGTTTCACGTTTTAA